GAGATTCAATCCAAGCTTCTCTTGAGTGTCAATGCTGTTTTTGAATAGCTGGAGTGTTAGTGTCGTACCTTGCTGTGTGACTATACTCACCCTCCAACTATTCAAAAACAGCATTGACACTCAAAAGAAGCTCCACTCATTGAATGCGAGTGTAAGTGAAGTTTTAGAATATGGGCGTAAGATCGAGTCATCATCTCTTGTGATTACTTCTGAAATAGCGATATTTGCTGTAGGTAGTTCCTTCTTGATCTGTTGCCCAAGTATGGATATGGCATTTGCAATTTCTTGTGGTGAACTTTGTCTCGCTTTGTTTGTGCCGACATGCAGAATCAAATGGTCCGGGGCACGGGCCAAAGTGGGTTTATTGTTAGAATTTCATTTTGATATTGCAAATTTGGTGTATGCCGTATATATCACTTCCATATGGGCACGAGACTGAGTGAATACTGACTCTTTCTCGAATACTTTTCGTCATTTTCTCAAAGACTATAGGAGTAAAATACTCTTGGTATTCAAGCCCATTCAAGCACTTTCGTGTAGAAAATTTCGTTTGAATACGGCAAGTAGAAATATTTATTTTGGATTTTTCAAGATATCGGGTTTTACTCGCATGCGCGTGTATTGTGTAATACTTGGCCAATAAGGAGCTCCTTTAACTGGGATGACGTCAAATTCACGCGTATAGGTGCACTTTGACCTGTAGAACCATTTCTGGCATTTGCAGAGTCATATACGATACAAACGTCGCATTGTTTTGACATTTTTAAGTCGTATTTCCGATTGGGATTATCGCAAACTCGGAACCAGAAATGTGAAATTCGGCAGTAAAAGTCACAATTTAAAGACAGAAGCTTGAAAATAACACTGTACATGCTATTTCGAATGCTTAATCGAACAAGACAATCACAATGAGCATACGTCTCAAGGGGCCGAAGTTATGTTCGGCGAAAGGTATGTTTATGTTTATGTTTATGTTTATAATTCGTTAGTAATATTGTGTAATTTGATCATATACGAGCTCGCTTGACTTTTAAAGCTCACAAATCGCTGTAATGTTGCCATTGACTAAAACTATCGTTATGAATTAGTATATATTTTTACACTGAATCGAGTGGTAGTATTTTCATCGACATAGTGTTTATTGAATCGAAGGTATGAACGAAACATCCATAGAACGTGCACGTCCTACGCTAAATGGTACCTGCTGAGAAGAGATTTATTAGAAATAGGTTTTTTTTCTTAAATAGAAGCAGAACGGTCTTGTTGAGTCATGTTTTAAAGTGTCATTTATCAGGTTGCTTAGTCACAGACAATGTTGACGTTCATGTATTGGATAAACACTGAGAAGGAGGAACTTATGTCAGATAATGACCCGAGAACGCGCAGCGTCCGAGGGCATTTTCTGACATAAATCCCGACTTTCGAGGTTTTCCAACAAATATCCAACCGAGGTTTTCCAACGTCTATTTCGTCCGCTTTGAAGGACGATTGTCTGCGCTTTTCTTCATCCTTTTAGCTAATTAATATCCAAGGTGATTATTAAAAATAATCACCTCGGTACATCAAAGAAAATCATCTCAATGAATTATTAAAGATCGAGTTTTTTATATCACAGCAACATAATACTAAACGCCTTTGGCTTTCCTAAGCAGGCTTTGAAATGAATTTAAAAGACGATAGACGCAGTTTGGAGTTTTATTGATACTTGGGTTTGGATTTTTATTACGTGTACCCACTGCCCAATTTCTCTACAGATTTAGACTTTTCGAAAGAATGGTTTTGTGACGTTTGGGGTGGTGTCACGTACCCCCCCCGCCACATTTTACTACCTTGCCACTGGTGCTAAATGTAATGATTCAACCTATCCTTCTAGTATCTGTGATAGAAAAGCAAAGCCAGTTAGAAGTAAGCCCAAAATTTTGGAAAGCATTTCAAGCCGAGAATATTAGAATTCAAATACTGTTGATACTGGACAAACATTCGTCTCATCTGCATGACAAGTGCCTGACATTTTGACATAGCTACATTGCCATTGAAATGGACTGAATATCAGAAATATTTCTTATTAAAACATGCAGCATATCATATTTTATTTTTCGTTCTGAACACCTGAACTTTTGCTCAACAAGCTATAGCAGGGCACGAATATTTGGTAATATTCACAGTATCAAAGACGCAAAGCTTCAAAGGCTCTACTTTAGCCGTGAACTGATTGCATTGGTAAGTGTTGTTTCTATTTTAACCCAGTATACGTAAAGTTAACAAAGCATATATTAAATCACATACAGAAAAATATTTTCTTAAAAATTTGCTAACATTGACAAAATTTTCATACTCGAATATCACAGCAGAATTTTAAATTAACTTATGGGCAATGTCCCGGTTGCTTTTATTCCGGGTGTCCTTGGATTTCCTGCGCATAAATGAGTTGGTTTCACAGTTTGATATTAAGTTACCCTAGCTGTATAGTTATTTTTAAATGATATACTGAATCATATACATACTCCTTGAAGAGTAAAAACAACTCTACTTAAGGAGTTACTCCACTTTTGGAGTCAATTTGACTCCTCGAAATTAACAGTGCAAGAGCGTCAGCTATCAGAACACTCCTTATACCGGCTTATTACATGGAAACTTGGGTGTATAACGTACCTAATAATATATATAAAGATATTACTCGACTGTGATTGGTTGATTTCAGTGCAGTTAATCCCAAACAGCAGTGCAATTTTCTGTAATCGCAGTGCAATTTTCTGTAATCACAGTGCAATTTTTTGTAACCACAGGGCAATTTTCTGTAATCACAGTGCAAAAATCTGTAACAAACTGATCTGATTGTTGGAAAAACATTGTGATGATTAAATCAACCAATCAGTTTAAAGCAATTTAGTATAAAGAAGTAACGGTCACAGATTGCTTCAAAATTAAAAACAAACATGGCACCGCGCTACACAAAGTAAAAGTTGCCTTCGCGTGGAAAATATGGCTTTTATCTTTATTTTTAAATGGAAAAGCATTTATCTTAAACAAGACTAACAAAAGTTACATGTACATAGTTGAGTGGAATTTTCAAGCTGTTAGCATTGTATAATGTGATATAATAAAGCCAGGAAAACTTTGCCAGTGGAATGTACGCTATAAACGCGTAAGTTAGAACTACAATTGTCTCGAACATTTTTATGTAAATTATTAATAAGTAATAGCATGGTTTCTCGTGAAATTTGGATAAACATGCACCCGTGAGTTTTTTAAAGGCCTCAAATAGCACTCGTCCTTCGGACTCGTGCTATTTTGAGGTATTTGAAAAACTCACTCGTGCATGTTATATCCAAATTGCACTCGAAACCATGCTATTACCTATACATATACTACTTTTAAATACTTAACAAAGCTTAGTGTTCATTTAATACCAAGTATAATCCATATAGGTTTTTTCTTTATTTATTAATTTATTTGTATCATAAAAATAATTTTTAAGAGTCGACTAAAATATTTGCAAGTAATGATTATTACATAACTAAGTATAAGATGAAGAAAAGTTTAATTTACTTTACTTTATTAAATTAAATTAACTAAAAATGATTTTTTATATATACAAGACGTGAAAGCTTTGTGTTTTCTAATGGGTATAAACAAAATTTGTTTAAATACATTATGACTAGTTGTGATGACAATCAAATATATTCCGGCAAGAAGAATATCTTCGATTTTATTCATTTTAAAAGTAAAAACGACTTAATATTGCTAATCTTTTCATCAAGGGACATGTAAAATATTGCAAATTATTTTTTTTCTTGCGGTCCGAAATCATATTTTACGCTTTTCTGCAGTCTGATTGGCTACGCGAGCGATCCTTAAGAGCCCGTACGGACCGCGCGAGTTTTAAAGCCGTAGAGGCAATGTTTTTATTTTTGAAATTTTAAAGACGCGCTTATTTAAGGCTGCTTTTTAACATTAAAATGTCTGCAGACGACGAAGAACACAGTGAAAGTGAATTTTACATTGATAGAAACGACGTTTTAGCGCCTAGAAGAGCAGTGGAGGGCCAAATTTGTCTAACTTCACCCGAAGAGTTGGGTGAAATTCAAAGTTTTATCGAAAGGCAGCGCCCAGACAACACGAAAAAAAAGACGATGTACGACATAAATGTTATTAAAAGGTACTTTGAATCAATATACGAGACAAGAGAAATTGAAAACATACCTGCCAAAGAATTAAATGTCCAGCTCGCGAAATTTTTCATGAATGTACGCAAGAGAAATGGCAGCGTTTATGAACCTACTTCTCTCAAGGACTTCCAGAGAAGTTTGCAGAGATATTTGAACGACAAGAGTTCTACAATGAATATCCTACAAGACCAGGTGTTTGCCAAATCCTGTGAAGTTCTTATAGCGAAGAAACGAGAGCTTGTCCAACAACACGCCAATGGAAACCGACCACAAGCTTGTCGAGAGTTGACGACGGCAGAGGAAAACAAGTTCTTCGAGTTGGGTTTGTTCGGAAAACACGACCCAGAAGTTCTCCAGAGGACCGTTTGGTGGGTCCTTTCTCTTCATTTCGGCTTTCGAGCGCGTGACGAGTCGAGAAAACTAAAGTGGGGAGACGTATCCATCAGCAAAGACCCCGAAACAGGCAGCGAATTGTTGTTGTGGAAAGCTGAACGAGGTTCAAAGACCAGGCACGGCGACGGGCAACATTGATGATGATGATGATGATGATGATGATGATGATTAACTTTATTTAAAAATCACACGCTAGCCTCGTCAACTTTCGCTGATTTCCAAGAGGGGCGTGTCAATTACATTATAAATAGTAACAAACATTAAAAATGAACATATTTACAATAGTCAACCTAATATTATACCATAATAATTATATTTACATTATATTATGAGAAATTGTGAGCACTAATTCGACTTTTAAATATTGGCAAGGTAGCCGAATCACGCAAATCTTCAGGTAAGGAATTCCACAATTTCGCCCCATCGTAAGAAAAACTTTTCTTAATATTTTCAGTCCTGGGAAAAGGGATTTGCAGTGATGTAGAGGAACCCCTAAGCTCGTAATCTGTGACATCACTTTTACGCATAAAAAGATTAACAAGTGCATTTGGCGACAAATCATTTAAAACTTTGTACATTTGTACTGCTTTAGACTTAGCTCGTTGAGACTCAAGAGTTTCCCACCCTAAGGCAGTAATTGCTTCTAATCCCGGGTATCATTTGTCATACTCATTACTATTCTCGCCGCTCTATTCTGCAGTTTTTGAAGTCGAGTTGAAATCTAATGCCCAAGGTATCCCATACCTCACTGCAATAATCGAAATGAGGGCGAACTAAAGCATTGTAGATAGAGATCAAGGTTTCCCTATCGACAAAGTCACGTATTCTTCTTAAAGCTCCTACACCGGAAGTAACCTTCTTGGCCACGCTTTCAACATGCTTGTTCCAAGACAATTTTTCATCAATTTGAACCCCAAGTAATCTACTGTGATGAACTTGCTTAATTTTGTCTTGATCTATTTTTATGTTTGGTTGATTAGTAAGGTTCGTTAATCTATGATTTGAACCAATAAGTATAAATTCGGTTTTTGAAGCATTGAGACTCAGTTTGTTGGCTAAAAGCCAGGTATGTACACTAAGGAGATCATTATTCATGGCCAACTCAACTTCCTCGATTGACTCACCAGCTACCGTAAGATTGGTGTCATCGGCAAATAGCCGAGGGGCAGCTTCATGAAGACATTCTGGAAGATCATTTATATATAAGAGGAAGAGAAGTGGACCAAGGTTGGATCCCTGTGGAATACCGCATGTCACATGCCGCTCAGATGACATTACATCTCCCAGTTGGCATTTCTGTTTGCGATCAGACAAGTATGATTGTATCATGGTTAAGGCACTGTCATTGATACCGTATAGCTCAAGTTTCCGCACCAAAATATCATGGTTTACAGTATCAAAGGCCTTTTTTAAATCCAATAATACAACCAAATTAAACATTTTGCGGTCCATATTAACGTACCAACTGTTCGTGCAATCCAAAAGAGCCGAAGCAGTTGAATGAGATTTGCGGAAACCAAATTGGTGTTCAGAAAGGATCGAATTGTCGTTAAGGTATTCGTAGATCTGATCATACATAATTCTTTCCATAACTTTACTTATTGCAGGTAAGATTGAGATTGGCCTATAGTTTTCCGGGAGATCTCGTGGACCCTTTTTATGAAGTGGTAGAAGTCTAGCAGCTTTCCATTCATATGGAAAACAGCTTGTTATGATAGCATGATTAAAGATGTGTGTGAGTGATAAGGCAATAGTAGGGGCTGCAGTTTTTAAGATCTTTCCAGATATTTTATCAAGACCAGTTGCTTTCGAATTGGATAAACCATTTAGAAGCTTGACTACTTTAGTATGTGAAACTAACTTAAGGGGGTCTTCCACCCTAAAAACATTTTTTTCAATTTAAAGGTTTTATCATCATAATATTTGAGTCAAATATGATGGAATATCCTCAGCTGACGCAGGATCAGTAACTTTTACATTCGTCGTTGCCATAGTAACTATGATAGGCCTCGCTATTATGTAAAATATAGGGTTTGCTCCAAAAATGATGCGTGCCAAACTAATTTACCGAGGATTTTAGAAACAGCTTTAATGGACATTACATCGATCTATGTCATGAACCTAAAATAATATATACAAGTAATATAATAAGGCCTTCATATTTTACTTTTTTAAAATTATATGAAGAAAGGAGTTCTTATAAGGCTACTTTTGCAATGTATATTGCTGATATAGGAAGTTTTTTAGGTCCATGACATGGCTATGTAACAGGCAAATAAACTCTGAAAATTTCGAACGAATTGATTCAGTATGAACAGTAGGAGAGTTTTTAGTATTTCGCAAAATGGTCGTGTGAGAAAAGCGATTTTAAAGTTTTTGCATATATTAGAATAACTTAGATAGAACAATATAATTGAAAATGGAACAATAGACTAAACCAATCGCATATCTTTATCGCTCCGGGTAAAATCGTGGTTTTACCCTACGAAGGTGTAGAATTTGCTGGATTTCTCTGGTTTACGATACATTTTCGTTCTTAAAATTACACGGATTTTATAAAGAATGCTATGAAGACTACATTTTTACGTTTTTCTAAAAAATAACGAATATTGGAAAATTTGGGTGGAAGACCACCTTAAAGCGTGTCATTTTTGATGTAGCTGGTTTGACGAAACGATGAAACGTAATGTCAGCATCATCAATAGAACTAGCTTAGGGCCAATGTCAGTAAATATGTATTAAAAGCATTGGCAATTTCTTCAGGTGAGGTAATTTTTGTATCATTAAATTTTAATTCATTAACAACAGTATTACCTGGAGAACGACCGAGTAAGTTATTGATTGTCTTCCAAGCCTCTTTTGGATTATTATTTTGATTTGATATTTCAGTGCGAAAACAATCTGTTTCAGCTTGTCGTAGGGCAATATTGATTTGTACTTATCCCAAGCAGCATGGGTACCAGACACCATTGCCTCACTATAGGCCACGTGTAGACGCTTTTCGTATATACTTTTAGTAACGTTGTCGAAGACAATGTGCCATTGACATTGACTAATTACTCGCTGGGGCACCTGTGCCCTGGCGAGTATAGGTTTCGGCTCTGATTTTTCTCCGATTGATAGCCACAAAATAGAATATTAATGAGCTACCTACTTTTACCCAAATTATCCATTTGGGTCCTGCCAATTTTACCCAATTTATCCATAAATAACCCTAGGTATTGAGAAAAATTCAAGAATATTACTAAAAAAGCTAAAGCTGCTGTTTATTTTAACCAGTATGAACATGTTTAGGTTCTTTTAAAACTGACATTTTACTGCATTGAGGATTCAACGACAAGAACAATGAATTTGGAGATGTGTTAAGTAAGAGTTAATTACCGAGAACGAGGTTTCTTAGCGAGATACAACCCGAGGGGCGTGACCCGAAGAAAGCGTCCCGAGGGCCGTAGGCCCGAGGGACGCTTTCTGAGGGCTACGCTCCCGAGGGATGTATCTCGCTAAGAAACCGACGTTCGAGGTAATTAACTGACTTAGTTCAAATTTGTAAGGATTGAAAAACAATTAAATCTACTTTTTTGTCGAAAATACTTGCATTGAATTAAGAGAATAACGATTGTTACCATGGGGTCCATATGAAAATGAGATTGAAACGTGAACTACCTATGTAGCGACGAAAAAAATGCTTCCAGGCAACCGGATTCAGATGAAAATGTAGGCTTATGGAAAGAGAATTTTTGCAAGCAAATGACGAACCATTGGGATTTGCAGTGCTCAAACTAGACAGAGATAAAGAGTCTTGAAAAACGCGTATTGAGCGTATACCGAATATACTGTAGGCACAAGACCCAACACCATCTGGGCAGTTCGATCGTATTTGGAAAGAGTGGGCCGAAGGTAGAAGCGCTATAACGAACAATATGTGTATGGGTTTGTCGAAGCAAAGATTCTAAATTTGTTTTCAATAGGGTTTTATTTGGGTAAGAATCTAAAAGCAAGTGGAGGGAATTTGACATCTCTATAGGAAAAAGGGGGGTTGATGAATAGAATTCAATTGAATTGATGATTAAATATTCACCAGGTTTTATCTAAGTATATAAAACCTGATTTTTGCGGGTTTTATATATATATATATAACCCGCAAAAATCCGGGTTTTATATAGATAAAACCCGGTGTATATTTAATCGTCAATCCAATTCAATTCTATTTATCAACCCCGCTTTCCCCTGGGGAGATATCAAATCCCTCCCCTTGCTTTCAGATTCTTACCCAAATAAAACCCTATTGAGAACAATAGAAATCCGCACAAATTTGAACTAATACTTATTAATAATTTACATAAAAATGTTCGAGACAATTGTAATGTTATAACTTACGCGTTTATAGTGAACATTCCACTAGCAAAGTTTTCCTAGCTTTGTCATATCACATTTTACAACGCTAACAGCTTGAAAATTCCACTCAACTATGTAATTTTTGTTATTCTTGTTTAGGGTAAATGCTTTTCCATTTAAAAATAAAGGTAAAAGCCATATTTTCCACGCGAAGGCAACTTTTACTTTGTGTAGCGCGGCGCCATGTTTGTTTTTCTTGAAGCAATCTGTGACCATTACTTCTTTAAACTAAACTTCTTTAAACTGATTGGTTGATTTAATCATCACAATGTTTTTCCACCAATCACAACAGCTTGTTACAGATTTTTGCAATGTGATTACAGAAAATTGCACTGTGATTACAAAAAATTGCACTGTGATTACAGAAATTGCACTGTGATTACAGAAAATTGTACTGTGATTACAGAAAATTGCACTGCTGTTTGGGATTAACTGCACTGAAATCAACCAATCACAGTCGAGTAATATCTTTATGTATATTATTAATTTATTTATAGGCCTGATCGCAGGTTGCTTGAGTGGTCGCACTCGTTCCTTGATGAAAAAAATCATCAGGGTCCGGATGTATAAAACTCTTAATCACTTTTTTAATCACTATTTTGTAGTTAAATAGTGATTAACTCTCAAATACGCGCTTCTTATTGGATGACGTATGTATGTTAGACCGAGTGTAATGATAGTAGGGTTAACAGGATACATTAATTGGCAGATAGTCTAATTAACTCACTGAGTGGCAGAACCCC